AAAGTCACTGAAATGACAAAGAGGTGTGAGGTATAAAAACAATAGCAACACCTTCTTACAGAAGAAATCAGACCTGAGGCAAATCCTGAGTGAACTGTTTAAAACCTTGCTGTCTATCAATTATAAAAACATTCCATGTGTAACTTTTGTTTTTAAGGAGGATCATTTTAAAGTCTTCCTTGTGAGTTAATACTGTAAATAACAAAACTGGAAAAGGATCAGTAAGTACTTTTCTGCTTAAGGGAAATATGTTTCTAAGCAACTCAGTTATGGAGAGATGAAAAACTTGGCTTGGTTGAGACTACAGGAGGAATGTAGAGAAATAAGACTACATAAACAAGAAGCAAAACAACGTCTGCTGACAAATGCAAATAAATGGACAAGGTATACACAAATATCTCCTTCCTCTCTGGATTCCAAAATAACTAACTACCTAACTTTGGCTACACTGTGAGTAATGTAATAAAACACCTGCTCCACATGTAAAGGTGCCCAAAATTCACGTTTCTGTGTTTTAAATCAGTTTTGATCAGCATCTAGAAGCAACAGGACACTAAACTAACAAAACAATGAAAATTCTTGTTGCTCCTTCCTAAACCCTTCATTTTGAATGTACTGGGGACAAGATAAAGGACTAGAGAGTTGAAGATTTGACTTACATTACAGATCTGACAGTTGTATCTGCAGCAGGCATCGTATTTCTGTGTATTTTATAACACTCACCTGCAAAGCCTAGTATGCCAAGACATTTACCTTGTTTTTATTAATAAAAAAAACCACACCAAAACCCAGTGTTAATAAGGCATGGTTAAAATCCTCTAGAGTAATTTCAAGGATTATCTTTAAGTGTAACCCAAATAAATGGTGATGAGCAGACATCAGGTATCAACCAGGATAAGAAAGTTTAAAGTAATGTCAAAAACACAAGGGCAAGGAATCTTCTCAATTTCCCTTATGCACTCAACTATTCAGAATTTGTGGAAAAAAGTAAACAAACACAGATGGCTTACAGATTACTGTGACAATGATGGATGATAACTACAGTACTTCTTTCAGAGGCTACACAGATGAAAGCAAGATCCTCCATAATGAAAAACAAGAAGAGGGAGTTAATGCAGCAAAAAAAAGGCAAGAGCAAAGAAATTTGGTAGCACAAAACCGGTTCCTAAATAATGAAACTGATTTGGGGCACTCCTGCTGATGGAACTATTTTCTTAAGTTTTTATAGCAAAACCATTCTATTAGTATGTGGTAGAATATAATGCTTATTGAGGATTGATGGAAGTTACCAGCTTTACATCCTCAGCTGTATGATATGAAGAAATAAAAACTAGAAACAAGTCCAAAAAGCTAAATCACAATCTTCTCATTAACTCTCTAATTCCACACAGTGTATCTTTTTATTGCAAAAGGCTATGTTCACACAATTCTAAAGCAGGTAATGCAGTTAAAAGCTTGGTCTGGCTCTAGAATCTGAATACATACAGACATGAAACACAAGCAGTGTAAACCACCATATTAGCCAATGGTACTTTACTCCTACTACGGATGCAGGAAACATCATTCAACCTAACAGTATCATAAAAACAGATTTCAATTTGGGAATTTGTGGTCTGTGGCAGCACAAACTCCCAGATTTAAGTTGCCAGGCTTCACAAGGAAATGCAAGATGCACCCCTCTCAACTGCTTCATATGTAAACACAGCAACAGCAAACTCGAAAAAAAACTCAAAGGATATGACCACAAATAAATGCAAGTTCTCAGCCAGCACCTGCTGCCCCACCAGCCAGTCCTCATCTCTCCCAAGGAAAAGCTGGCAGGCCAGATAGATTAATTTTGAGGACCAGATGCAGCCTGTCAGCTATCAAACAAGCAACCCTGACTTACAATAATAAGCTGTGTTTCTTTAATCAGATCCATTTGCCTCTGAGTCAAGTGTTATTCATTTGCAAGAAGGGGTCTCTTTCCAGCTGTATTTACATGGGCACACGCTGAGTATTGTTGATTCCGCATTCTCAGGACTTTCTTGTCCCAAGGCAAGTTTGCCCTAACTTCACATGGACTTTCTGACAGTCCATTAGTCAGCTTTACATAACGGCACATAAATAGCAGTAAGTAATCATAATGAACTGTACACTTAGCAAGCAATTAATCAGTTATAAAATCTAGCTTTACATTCAAATTACTATTTGTCACAGATATCCAAGAATCCGTTCTGAAGTGAAAACTGTATTTGATAAAAGTGTCTGATAAAGATAGAATTATTGTAGGAACAGATTACAATCAGGTAAGCACTATGTAAAAAGCCTCAAATTATCCTTTTTATACATATGTATGTACACACATTATTTATATATTATGCTCTATATAAAACATATACAAATATGTAGTTTCACAAACATTTTAACAGTTTTTTGTTATTAAATGACTTACCAAATATTTTTATTTGTACAAATCTCATGGGAAGGGTCACCCTTATCCATTCAAATTTACAGTTGCAGTAGTTAATCAAGTATTCTAGAAATATTTAACACTTCCTTATGTGGCAACAGTTTGGCAACAGAATATAGCTGATTTACAAATAATAAATATAATTTTCGTTAAGGGAATAACTATTTCAGAACAAAATATAACTTATCTTAAATGTATTTTTTCTGAGGCCAGAAGGAATCTTTAATGATTCCACAGCATTCCCACTATGCAGTGCACAAATTTTAACCAGTAACTGAAACTGCAACCAAAACAATCAGTTGATCTGTATCTCATTGTATTTAGATTTTGTAATTGTGCTCCTTCTCCATGCATCACAATCAAATATAAGGACGAAGATACCAACCACTGGTTTAATAATATTATACTACATAATACTACATACACTTTTCTTTCCCTTTTGACAGTATATAAGGAATTTTCTTTAGAACTG